TCCTGAGGCAGCGTCCGGCGTAGACAACCCCGTATGTCCCCCGGCCCAGGACCACCCGCTCGCCCGCCTCCGAGTACTCGTAGCTGTACTGCGGGCAGAGATATGGGGGGCAGCCTGTGCCATCCAGCACCCGGTGTGTCCCCCATGCCACCCCCTGTCCCCATCTCACCTCCAGGATGGGCTGTGTAGGGCTGGGCACCTCCTCACCACCCGCCGCCTGCTTGGCCAGGAGGGACTGGATCCGGTCGCAGAACCTGCCAGCAGGAGGATGATGGTCCTGAGCCCCAGGGAGGATGCTGGGGACCCGGACATCGACCCCCCGGCACAGAGGGGCTCCTGCTCCCCCTCCCAGTCTGTCCCCCACCAGTGGCACATGCAGGGTCTGTGCCCCGCTGCTTTGTGGGACCCAGCAGCAGGGGTTGGGTCCCTAGGACACCCCTTTCTCCCCCAAATTAAGGTAGGGGACAAATAGCATGCTCCCAACCCCTCCCTGCTCACCAGGGACAGGGCAGCACCCCCCCCATGCACCCACCAGCAACGTGGGGGTCCCGGTGCCCCCCAACCCTCTGCTCACCACCGGCAGTGCTGCTGGGAGGGGAAGTAGAGCTGGAAATCCTCCACCGCATGCAGCACGTAGAGGAAACAGCCCCGTTCGTCGCACTTGCAGATGCTGGCAGGAGAGGACCCCTCCACCCCCTCAGCCGTGGGGCTGATGCTGCCCATGGGGGGGCAGAGGGGCTGCGGGCACAGGGGGGACATCCTCAGTCCTGCTGGCAAGGGGACCGGGGATGTGCTCACCTGACGCCCCGGATGGCTGTGGCCGCAAAGGTCCAGCTCGATGACATTTTCTGAAGGAGAAGGGGCAGGTGAGCAGGGGCTCAGTGGGGACGTCTCCAGCCCCCCCATCCCCATCCCTACCTCCTCCGTGGGGCAGATGAGGGCGAGCGTGCGTGGGGGTGACCCCCCCCCCCCGCCGGGTCCCCAGCCCGCATCCCTTCACCCCCATACTCCCACCTGGGTTGGCACCGGTGGGCTGCTTGGTGCCTCCCCAAACCCCCGGGGAGCCCAGGCCCGCCGGGTGATCCCCAGGGACCGCCACCCCAGGCTCTGTGGGGCCCCTCACCGGGCAGTGCGCTGCAGCGACAAAGGGCTGACACGCCTCGAGGAGGAAGCCCAGCCAAAAATCAGCCAGCTCCTGCCGGGCGGAGGGGACCTGCGGGCTCTTCTGGAAGTGTTTGTAGAGCAGGAAGGTCTCCATGACTGAGACCAGGTACCTGCAGGGACATGGGGGACAAGAGAGGAGAGAGAGATGTCCCCAGCACCCCCTAAAAGCCCCTGAACCCCCTCCTGGGGCACAGCTGCCAGGGACTGGAGACCCAGTCTCGCCCGGGTGGGCACACGCTGTGCTGTGGCCATACCAGCCCGGCGCGTTAAGCTTGTAGAGCTTCTCAGAGGCTTGGATGACTTTGCTGAGGTCGTTGGCCAAGATGCCGGCTCCGAGGCAAAATCCCACATCCCAGTAGTAGCACAGCTCCCCCGGGCTGCCCTTGC